CTGTCCTTTGTAGCTCTTAAAAAAAACTGTCTTTCTGTTATCTCTCCTAAACCCTATTCTACCATCTATTTACTTAAGCTCGCCAAATAGGTTATGCATTGTTTTCCTCTTTCTTTATTATGTGCCCTAGAATTTTCAACTGTTTTTTTTCCTGATGTTATATATAAGTGTCTTTTTTGTTTCTATTTTCTCTAAAACTGTCATTGTTCACATCTTCAGTCCATGTTATTCTCAGCATCCTTCTGTAGAACTACATTTCTGTTGCTTCAATCTCTTCTTCATCTGTGAGGAGATTCTCCAGCATTCACTGCTATATAGTTTTGTTATTTATATTGTTGTTAGAAAATTATATATATTATAGGTATTTACTAAATTTTCTCTGGCATCAGGCTGCAAATGTAGGCTCTACAACAAGTACCAAACTCCTCCCCAGAGGCACACACAAACTCTTCTTATACTGCTATGCTATAACAAAGTTCCAGTTTTCATGAAAATTGAGTCAGAGCTTTAAATGGACTGTTTGGTTATGCCTCTATTCCCCCATGTATATATCATGTCCAAAAATATCTCTGATGGTTGGTTGATTTGTTTAACATGACAACTCCTTACAAGTCATTTAATGCCAGAATTTAATTTTCTTGCAAGCTTTGAAGTAATAAAAATATATCTTATTCTGCTTTCACAATTGAATACATGGTATATGATATTCAGCTTTTGTGCATATACATGTTTGTGTGGACATAATTACGAGAGGCAGTGATATGTGTGTTTTATGTTGTAGTTTTATTGAAATTATATTTTGGAATACAGTTTGATTTCTTTAAGAAATTGTAGGATATTATAAGGACTAATGTCATGAAAGAGTTCATTTATATTCTTTGGTTGATTTGGTTTAGTGGCATATCAACATCTCTATAGATTATTTAATGCTGAAATGTAAATAATTTGAACACAAATTTATGGTTTCAACTAAATATATTTTGAATGCAATTATATGCTTTCAACTTCAGATAAAATAAATATATATATATATATATATATATAGTAAAATGACCAACAGTATATTTTATCTGTAGTAGATAGAATATATATATATATATATATATATATATATATATATATATATATATATAAAAAAATGACCAACAGTATATTTTATCTTTAGTTGAATGAATACAATTGCATTCAAAATATATTTAGTTGAAACCATAAAATTGTGTTCAAATTTAGATTTCAGCATAAAATTTACAATATATATTGTTAGTCTTTTTTATATAAGAATGCATGGCTGGTATTTTTACTATTAAAATGTATTCTTATAGTGTTTTTGTTTGGTTGGTGGGGTCACTATTTTCCCATAGCAAGGACCCTAATTGATGCTACCACCTTGGGTCAGGGTGTACCTGGGAACAACAACAATTAAAAGGTGGTTTCATGCTCTTAAAACTTCTAATCTCCCGATCAGAGATGTTGCTGCCAGATGTAGTTTATCATCATGCTCAGGACTTCTGAAGCTGAGATACAAGTCTTATTGTTTTCTGAAAGTCAGTCTATGGCTTCAGTAGAAGTATTGAAAAGATTTGTTTTATTTATCTATATCAGTTTTAACTTTCCTGAATATACTCGGTTTCATCAGACCAGAATAGCCATTACAGTAATATTATATGCATCTATAAGTAGCATGATTGATGGGATTAGAAATTTATACCCTGATAAGAATTTCAAAATATAAAATAAAAATAAATAAAATTCTACCTTACTTCCTTTGAAAGAAAGTCTTTGCAATTATAGTAATAAAGCACAGTTTGTGATTTCTGTTTTAACTTTAATGCAAGATAAATGGAACAAAAGCCTTAAGATAAATAGATTAATGATTTTAATTGACAAGAGAGGGATCAGTTTTCTGCTATAATGCTTTTATAAAATGATCCCACAATAAGGGAAATTAGAATAAGTTACTAGTTTTTTTAATTGTTAAGAGAAGGGAAGATTTTATACAAAAGAAAAATTAATAATTACCATATATACTCATGTATAAGCCTATTTCATGAATAGTGTGACCCCTGAATTCTTTTGCCAAAAACCTGATTTTTTCATATAGCTCGTGTATAATGTGACCCCAGCTTCCAAACTATACTAGTAGGCCTATCGTAGTCGAATGTTGCAATACTGAACATCATCCTGGACATATTTTATAACAAATAAATGGTCTTCATTCTTTTTTGTACAAAGCTACCCTAAAATGATGAAAAAAAACTTACTGTAAAATATCTGATACAAAGATTTAAATTCCGTACTTTTGTTTTTGTGTATACTTGATTTTTAACCTCTTCAAAAATATTATCTGTGTATAGTGCAACCCCTACTTTTTGTGTAAAAAAAATGATCATAAAAATTTGTAGTATATTCAAGTATATACAGTATATATTTATACATTTTCAGATAGCCATGTGTGTTGCCATGGTAATGTGAGGGATAGAATTTTTACTCAAATGAAATGTCTTGCAATGCTTGTTTCATAGTCTTTTATCATTGTCATGATCGAGTTTCAGTGGATGCACCACACATGTAGTAGACTCAACTGAGCTTTTCATTTGTTACTACACACATTTAGAGATCAAAGGTTAAAAAATAAGGTGGGCAAACATTTTTTAATTGCATGCCATATCATTGTTGGCCTTGTGCAAAATGGTCCACATCACAATAACCACACAAGTTTCACAACAATATGAATAATCACCACACATGAAAATGTTATTGATATGTCCCAGAAAGGGATATATTTGAACGAAGTAGCCAAGTGGTTTTGGCTACTATAACCAAGTAGAATACGGTAGCAGTAATCGACTGGTATGCATCATAGTTGCAGGTAAGAAATGTAGATCAATGGCATAGTCCAATGGGTGTCGTTATAGACTTAGCTCTCAGACTAAGGCTCTGACTCTCCTACACGTCCGTCGGTATTTATGATGGACACCAGCCAATCATATTCCAGTGAGGGGGAACACAGGTGTATGCATATTCCATTATATCAGTTATTAGTAGATTTATTTGCTTAGTAGACATATTTTGTGAACAGACTGCACAAATGTATGTGAAATTAGTTTAATATTTAATACATTTATTATTATTAATGAGATTTGTGCAGCTGAGAAAGTTTTTCATAATGAGGATTCAATTCATTCGTTTGATCTATGCAAGACAGATTATATATTCAAATCTGTCTGCTGAGACTTATTTTTGATCTTGTCAATGAACATAAAATAAATATTAAATATGAAATGCTTTCCATCTTTGTTAAATTTTTTTTTCCTTTTTGGAAGAGATTACTATTTTGGGTTACATGCAACCAAATAAAATAACAAATTTTTTTAAGGAACTTATTGTTTGTTGTGCTCTTGTGGGCTGCAGTAAATCATCAGGTGAGCCACATTCAGCTTGCAGACTGTAGTTTACCTAACCCTGTATTAAAATATCCAGTACTTACACCACAGGATTACTCACCAGTTCACCATGATTTTAGCCTTGTGCTAAATTAAATGGAGAAATTTAGACCCATTCTCACTTATCTGAGAATGTAGTACTCAAAAAAATTTAAAAGAACTGAAGATTTTATTGTTTTTTACCTTTGATGGCTGTTCTTTGGGTAATTGCCCTTCTTGAGGCAAGCTGAAGGGTACAGGACTGATGGTCACATGAGACAGGACCCTGGCTTGTTCATAGCACCAAGTCATTGTACTATTATTATTGCTATCACAGTTGCAAAAGACTATTTGATTTGGACCAGCATGATTCTCTGTCATTGCTGAAATAGACAAGATACATATTGATATGGTGTTACATTAGAATTGATTCTGCAATTCATACAATTAGGTATTCTTATCTTTTGAGAACATACAAGGGTGGGGGGGTCTTTCTGTCTTTCACAGACCCACAAGGGTTTTGCCTCTAGGGGTGAGTACAAAGACTGGAAAAGAAACAGAAGATGAAATCAACATAAAAAAATGAAGACACCAATCTGGGTTCTTGACAATTTAGTGTTTATTTCAATTAGGTTCCCTGGTTAGACCTAGTATTCTCTCTGATCGTAGGTAGGTGACACATAGATCCATTCAACTCTTCTTTTTACTTCGTCCAAGTGACATGATTGGAGAGACAGCTTTTCTCTCTGTCTAGCCCTAACCAGTGACTCTACTTATATAGAACTGCCAGCAGAAACATCTAGTTTCCAACAAAGTGCCACTTGATCTTCTTTTTCATTTATTTCTTTATTATTTTCTTCTTTTTTAAAGTGGTTTGCCGTTTTGAACCCTAGACTTCAAAGACTATCTTCTGACTCGGATGACATCATTTAGGGTCCACTACTGCGCGTGTTGAGCCGGTTGTATGGATGACCTATTGTGCCACACTTTTAAGACTAAAATCTAATTTCGTTATATCATATATCTGTCTTTATCACAGTATTTCAGCTGGTCTATATAAGCCTCATTTAAGAACAGGACTACTGACAATCAGGGATATCAACACAAAGCAATTTGAAATAAGTTACAATATAAAAGAGGGGCAACAAGAGAGTAGATTCCAGTTTCACTTCTTATTACATTAATGCTCCACACTTTAATATATGATACTGCATGATTGCAGCATTCAAGCTGAAGAGATTAAAAGGTAAAAAAGAAAAAAGTGTACTAAGCAATTTTTAAAGGGTGGATGTCTTAATGATTTGTTTTTTTGTTTTTTTTTACAGCATATTAACCTTTTGTATGTTATTTAAAATCAGAAAAATATTTTTAGATTGTAAGAATTTTTGGGAGATAATAATTATTTTTACTGATACAAATTTAATTAACCTATAGCTGGAGAGGGAAGAGGTGGATTCATATCTTTTCCAAGAGTATTTGCACATAAATGAATATATCAAACCTGACTGGAATTGGAACTTGGCTCTCTGATTTCCAATTCTGAGCCATTGTCCATTACACCATCCACTCATCCAATCTTACATCATCTGATATTCACAAGTGGTCACCCATCTAGGTACTGACTAGGCTTGATATTGCTTAATTTCAGTGATCATATGAGAACCAGCATTTCAACATGATATTGCCATAAGCCTTTACAGGATGGATTCAACATGCATCTGAAGAAATCCGAAGAAAATACTGCCTCAAATGTTATGTTAAAGACAATAGTCTATAATTATATTTATTATTTTTTTTATCTTTAAGTGTAAATACTTTTAGCTAGTCTCAAAAGAATAGGGCTTTACCATGTTGAAACACCGACTCTCGTACTAATCAAGAGCCAATGGCATTGACTGCATAGTAATGTTGGTGGAGGATGAGGTTGATTTTGTGAAGCCTTTCTCGCTTGTTGCTTGACTTTTTCCTTTTCTCTTCTGCGGATTAAGTTTTTGGTCACAATGGCACATTTTTGTGCATATGTTTCAAATGATTTAGGTTGAAGTTCAGTGTTGTTTTAAGTTGATCCTAGTATCTTTTCCCACCAATACTCCACATGTATATCATTAGATTGAATAAAACTTATGCTAGCACAGTTAGAATGTGAGAAATGTCATAATTTAATCAACAGTCAATATATTATAGTAGGCAAGAGAGAGATATCAATGTTTTTTTATACAATTCATGTCAAAGTATCAACCAGAGAAATAATCAACTGACCAGAGTCCATAATATAGCGGAACCGTCCTGTTCGCAGATCATCTGTACTATTTAAAGTAATGAATTCTTCTTGGTTGTCTAGGGTCTCAGGTATTGTTGGGGATTTGTTTTCACAGTCACCTGTCTGAACTAACCCAAAGAGGCTCTAAAATAAATTAAAAATATTGAAACAATCAAAAAGAAATTCAAAAATTTCAATAAACAAGGAAAGTAACAAGATCGGTAAAGACAAACATTTACAAGATTGATTTTATTAGCTACCAATGCATTATTAAAAAAAACCAAAAAGATACCTTATGTAAAGATATTTTGGAAGAAAATCTCAGCTGTATTTATGAATACGAGTTGAAAAAACATGAGGAAAAATGGTTGGATGATTAATATATATTGTATTAAAATAGCATTTTAAAGATTTTATCACAAACAGCTTGTATTATCTTAGAAGTGACTGTTATTCTTGGCTTCTTCCACCTTAAGAGTTTATGACTACAATGATTAATAAAAATAAAAATAAACCAGTTTAAAAAAAAAAATCAGCTAAATCCATCACAATCTTTTTTTCTCCAACATTTCTAGTACTCATACCATTTTTTTCAGTTTAGAATCATTTTTCCAGGAATGTTTTCCAGACATCCTAGCTCTCTGTGAAACTAACTTAAACTCCTAAATCTCTACCATTGAATTCTTTATTCCTGGCTATCATCCTCTTTATCAGTAAAAAGAAGAATCAGCAATATTATTGGTCCTGATCTGGCAGTTTGGCTTCAGTCAATTTCCAAACATCATAAAGTTGCCTCTCTGTGCTATTTCTATAAATAGTTTCATGGTAATTGTTCAGATAAGCTCTTCACTATGGTACCTAGATTGTATGAATTTAAGCACAGTACTACACCGACATTGAGATTTCAACAATTGACAATTGATCTGGTTAGATGTAGCCATAAGTTCTATGTTAACAGTTTCTTTTCTCACTTATGGAACTCCCTTCTGGCTCCATACTTTCCTGCCAACTTTAATCTAGAAAAATTTAAATGCAATATTAATCTCTATCTACTGTCCTCTTAATTACTCTTTTCTCTTTCCAATCATTAATAATGTTTCTGTTTGTAATTCCTCCGCATCCTGTAACCCATTTTAGTGGCTTTACTGCCTTTGCATGGGGTGATACCAATTAAAAAAAAAAGAAGAATTCTAGGGTCCAAATGCATGGCTTCTGTGTCTATGTTCATGAAAATCTCAGTGACAAGGTAATTGTCTTTCGAGTCTCCAGATCGATCTTATGCTTCTGATTCTAATAGTTTATTTCCTCGGACTTCTCACTTCTGGAACTCTCATTTGGTTTCTTGCTTTTCTGCCACCTATGATCTTCTAAACACCCTGTCAGCTGGGGATGTAGAATATGCCAATTACACCTTTGCAGAGGGATAAGACCCCCCCTCAAAGAAAAAACTATTTGAAAATACTGAAACCATCAATATAATGTCCTACAATAGGTTTATACCAATACGTATATTTACAACAGATTATGTACAAACTGATGGACTGTCCCGTCATATTCAACATATAAGGTCAAGCAGCTTAGTTCCTAGGAACCGACAACACAACACACAATCTTCTTTCTTCTGTCTGGCTCATTGCTGAATTAAAGTAAATAATTACTAATATTTAATTGATTATTATGTGGGCTTTTTATCTAAAGAATCTAAAAGAAGTTAAAATTAAATGTCAACAGTGATTTAAAAAATGAAATGAAGATTACAAAATCAGAGAAAGCTGAGAAAGAAAGCATATAAGAATCGTTGTTGAAATGGTGGGTCAGATGTTTAGTATGAATCCTGCAAAGCATGCTGCACAAAAGTATGATTGAAAAAATCTCAAGAGAAGAATTTTATCAAAATTCTATACTAACCTCACATTCTTTGAAGAATTGTTCTGTAAAATGATTCAAGCAAAGGAGATGTTCCTGGCCAAAGTGAACAAGTAACAGACCTGTTTCCAATGTCAACACTGACTTAGGCAAATATTCAGGCCCACTATGAGTGCACCATTGTGATGCCATTGTAAAATTAAGAGTTGAAGGACCAATAAAAGACAGTGGGGTTTGCTTTAGGTAGCAGGTTTTTAGCTGGAGATCTTTCAGGCTTAAACTACTCACTATTTCACTCAGAAATCCTGGAAAATAAAAGGATAACATTGAATATTAACACATACATTAACAGCAGTACAAAGTACAAGAGTCAGAAAAAATTCATAATGAAAAAGAGGGGGTAAAAAAAATATCACTGTAAAATAGACAATTTAAAAAAAAAAAAAAAAACAGTTAAACCAGTTTATCAGACCAAAAATCAAGAATAAAAAATGTGCACAGCAACTAAAAAATATACAAACATGCAAGAAAATATAACATTAAAGGCTGTTTATCTTTAAGCCTACCAACCACTCCTTCCACTTACAGAGAAATGGCTGGTAGGACTTAATGTGCACTCATTGCAACATTTTCAAGTGATAATCAGAATTAGCCCTACTCAGCACTGAGAACCTGCCCAGGCTATAAGACCAGGCACACTGCTGAGTTTTAATCAAATATTTAATTATTGCTGAACCTAATACATTAATACACGTATGTAAAATATCCACCTTTCCTTGTAATTATTGGTTGGTTGGTCCGTGCTACCAACTTTTGACCTGTTCTGCCTAAATAGTCAGCATCACATTAACATATGAATTTGTAAATTATAAAAATTAAATGATGGATATGTAGAAGATCCTTCCAATCAGTCTCAACGTAGGTCAGGCACCAAAAGCAACATGTGGATTAGTGGAAAAAAAAAAAAAAATAATAGTTTCTTGCAGCAATTGAAATTTGCTTAGTACATCACACTCACCTCATCAAGATCTGTTATTCCAGAACTGGTGAAATATGCTTCTTTTCAAAAAATTGTTGGAGAAACTTGCCTCTATTTCAGATTCAAGATATCTTATGTAAATTGAACCTCTTTCTGGTGTCTTCATCTACACTCCATATATCCAGGCAAATGAAAGAGGTTTTATAAATACTATAATGGTGACTAAGCCAACTGTAGCAATCTACGTGTGATTATGGCATTCTGAGCAAATTTCATTAGATCAAAGAGGGCAATCATTAAAAAAAGAAAAAAAAAAATTTCTTAAATTGCCAATACTTACCAATATCATTTTGATGAAATGTTACTTCCATGTTGATGGAAGTCAGAGAGGTCATGATTCCTGGAGATTGATCTGTCTGTTTGGCTTCCAGAAGAACTACAACTTGTTCAGTCTTTAATGAGAACTGATTCATCCAACTGAGATGAGATAGTACACTCATGCTTTGATCTGGAAAAAAAGAATACATTGATCATGGTGTAATTTGGAAATGTACATCACAATGTTTGTTTTATGCTTTACAAATTGTTTTCAACTCCATAACAAATATTCTGTTACTAATCATTTATTTATCATTACCAGTTGTATAATCCATGAAAGGCATCTTAGTACAACTCTTGTTCAATGAGTTTTGGTTAAACACATTAGTTAAAACTTAATAGAGATCTTGATTAAGCTATCTCTATCTCAGTTTGCAATCTGGTTGCATGATACTCCCCAACCAATACATCATACTGAGTTGACATAAGAATATGCCAATTGAAACTGCATTGAGACATCGTAATAGTTTGTTGTTCAATGATTCTTCTGTATACAGCTCCTCCTGCCAGATTGTGATTTTTTTTATAGATTTTAATACAGATTTATCCTTCTCCTAGACTGGTTATCAACCATGGCTAGAGAGCCCAGTCTGGCCTGTTATTTAACTCACAGCTCAGGGGAGACAAGATGAATTCATTTTTTCCCCAGGAGTATTTATGCAAAAGAGAATGACTGGAATTTGACATCAACTTTCCAATATCTCATTCCAAGTCACTATCCTTTATACCACCTGCACATACTTTATTTTAGATTTAATTTATTACTAGTTCTCAGCTCCACTTCTCCACCTATATGTATAAAACAGATTTTCAGCAACCATCAGAAACATGAAATAACAGATAATATTAGTTTAATTTCATGCACTGAGTGACCAGCAAGATGAGCAACACAATACTATATAGCAATAAAATAAAATACACATTTTCATAGAGTTTGTTCAAAATCATCCAGAACTCGGTAATGGTAATATTAGCCGTTTCCTTATGAGGAAACATTTGGTATTCATTGAGTAAGAAGACAGTACTGTCAGCGATTGAAATTTATTAAATCTTTCTCTTAAAATAATTTTTCGGGAAAATAGTTTTCTTAATTCCAGTAGTAGCTGTTATCACTCTTTCTAGTATTGATGAGGGTTTCCTTCCTAACATTTTATTTGAAGTAATATGGCACCTTGCATTTATTGGAAATATTCATAGAAATATGA